AAAAAAAATTACAACCAATAGTTTTTCTCGTTCCATTCACCAGTGGATTTTTATTAGAGAGGGCTAAAACTTCAACAAACGAAAAAAAAATAATTTTTAATCGGAATTTTTTTTTTCACCGGCTCTCTGAAAATCGTAGTTTTGGCGGGTCTCGGCGTACAATCGTAAAAGACATCTCAAAATCGTACATTGTACGCCAAAATCGTAAGAGTAAACAGGTCTGCGTACGTACTAAATGGATGGCTCCTAAGTAAAGTGTACAATTATTTTTTTTATTAAAGTCAACAATTATTTTAATGTTTTTCTAGCCTTTAATTGTTAGCCATTTTAAACATAAGATTACAATGTCCACTAAATGCAGCATAACTAAAAATTAAAAAGGTCTGTCTATTGCTTACTTACTAAGTCTTTTTTTTTTTTGTTTACTAATAATAATAGTACAAAATTAACACTAAATGCCACCATTTCAATTATTGTTCAAAATTAACTTTTTTGATACACTATCTTACGCACTACGTAAACTCTTTATAAGTAAACTGATGAAAAATGTGTGATGTTGCTAAGAAATTTATAAATATATATGTGTATTATTGGTTAAATATGTTGTTGTGTTAGAGTAGTTTTATTTTACAAATTCATACTTGTTTTTATATTATATTGCCAAAACAAACAAGAAACTGTTGTGTTGCAATAGTCATGAATTTTAGCTCAGATACCTCTATCAGTCAAGCAAGTCTGTGCAGTCAGTGCCTTTTGTGCTTGCCTAAGACCTTTTCTCATCCTTAAGAAACAAATCAGAAGACTATATCCTGTTTATTTTATTTGTGTTAATTTACATAAGTAGTAGAACACAACTTGTATTTTTATTTTGATTGCAAATAACACCCCCCCCCCCACCCCCAATGTGAAACCACACCTCTGAGAGCTAAAAACTACTCTGACACTAATCCAGAGGATAGTTAATATGATCACATATAAGGATTATTCATTTTCCTGAATGTAAAATTACAGTGACTCTGTTAATTTTAAAAGTTGGAAACTGATAATATTTGCAGGTTTAATGGGCACCAGGGATAATATACATCTGATTTGTTAATGAAAACATTTTAGCAGAGGTTCACTTAGAAAGGATCATACAAATCAATACATTCCATACCTGGTAAAAGAATACATCTTTGCGGTCTGTACCCTCAGTTGCATATTCTTCTAAAATCCCCTCTGTGGATTGAATATTTCAATTTTTCAAAGTCATTCAATTGTGTTCATCAAAATAAATATCCATTTATTACGTATGCAAAAAAGTATTTTTGTCATAACCCATCCCCTGTTGCACCTGTGGATTTCTGGACCCCTTAATAAATAAGATTCCCACCCCGCTCCTCCCAAATCAATTTATTTATAAACTTAATTATGATGTAAAGGCAATTAAATGAAGTCACTTGAAACTGTGTTAAATAATTATGTCACTAACTTTGTCCCCTTTTCTTCATGAGCTATATGGTGGACTAAAGTTTTCACTAGAGGAACTATTACTTTTGTGATATCTAGCGCATTCATTTGTGAACCCAAACAAAAAATAACAATTATTAAAAAAACATTGCATTTATTATTATATTTTTAAACAGCTTTTGAAAATTATTAGAAAACAAGGATTTTATAGATTTTAAGGCATGTTTTATAAATTAAATACATTGTACATGAAACAAAAAACAACAGCACACATACCTGGGCTAATTCCATGCTCTGCACAAAGCTGTTTCCAAAACTCCATTCCAACTAAAACACAAGTTAAGAGGAATAGAAAATGTACATATTCAATTATAAATGTATATAACTTTTATTTACATGCTAAGTAGGCAAAATACTAATTAATAAGAATTGATGGCGTTTACTGACCAGCAATTTACTGCATTAAAAAACCCAAAGGCTGCATTACCCTGGCGGTAAACATATCTAATCCTTGGACCTAAGCCTCTGTTTACTGTGACTGCAATCTTGACATAGTTTTTGGTTGGCAGAAATCAAATATTTTTAAATAAGTAATTTATGGAGTTGAGTGGTCAGGTTACACTAGTTGTGTGCATGAATTAACATTTTTTTTTGTTTAGGCAATTAATTTAAGGGTAATAAATTAGTAATAGAAGAATTGAACTTAATTAATAGGTTTAGGGTTCACGGTTCAGCTTAGACTTAGGTTTAGGGAGACCTTTCAAGGGTCATGGCGAAGAAAGATGGTGGCCATGGCGCAAATTGTCTGAATTTACCTGTTTTTTTAAATCTTGTTCATGTTCTATAAAACCGAACACTTATTTTTGCAGAAACCGAAAAGGCTAAGTTCATAACAAAAAGACAATAGAGTGTAGTGGCTGGTTTTGAGTTAGCGGTAAGGCCGAGATGTATTCCACGGTACATGGGTCACGGAGGTTCCCCCAGGTCCATTTCCGTACAGCGCCATCTACAGTGCCATACTAAAAATATTTCGATGTTTGTATTTACATAATGCAAGTTATTGTTTTCTTATTTTAAATTTTTTGTTAAATGGGGGAGGGTTACTGGGGAGGGGGGTATCCCCTCCCCTGAGAATTTCTATGTTTCTTATTTTGGTATTTAAAGGGAGGGGTTTGGGCAGGGGCCTCCCCATTTCCTAGAATATCAAATGCAATTTAAGCAGTAGCCTTACTTTGTTACCCAAGTTTCAACATACGGGTAATCAAAATACAGCAATTTTGGCAGGCATCTTTTTTTCACCGGTGTTGGGTCTTGGGGTATCAGCAAGGATGCGTTTCTTTTTTCCTTTAAGCTGAATTTTAATACAAATTAATGGAAAATTTAATTTCCATATACTTCATATTCATATTAACTGTATCATGTATGACGCGAGTAATGCTCAATAGAGAACAGGAATGTTAAAACACATTGTTCAGATCCTTCAAAGAATGGATCTATTTACCCTAAGTCCAGTGTTGGGATTCCCCAATGTGACGTCACTGCGCTTAGTAGATACTTTGGTCAAAAATGTAAACATTTTTTAAAAATAAACCAATGGCACAGTTGAATAGAGCTAATTTTAAACATAATTATAACACCAAAATCATATTTTTAGCTGTTGTAGTTTTAAAGTTATGAATTTTTAAAGTACGACTTGGTTTGTCATTTTTTAACATAGACTGCATCTCCACATTCTGTGACCTCATTCCACTGATCGCGTCATGCGCAATGACTATATAGTTTATATAAGGCAATGCATTCCCTTATCACTAAAATACTGTTTAGGGTCGACTTATTTTAAACTTTCAACTTTGGCACATGAATAATTAATAAAAGCTTTCCCTGACCAATGGTTTAATAGCTTTTGCACACGGCAAACTCTTATGAATGAAACTCTGAGATAGTACTACGACGTAGCCGTTATGCAAGTGGCTGTGAATGGTTGCCAATGACAACGTGTTGCACAGGGAAAATTCTGATCATTTATATTATGGACTCTGCAGGGTTTTTAAAGCTCAAATTAAAACATTTCCAGTTTAAATGTCTTCAAAATGCATTCTGAAACACAAAATATAAAATATTTTGATGTATATAGTGGTAATAATTAAATATTTCCTAAGTATCGGCAACTTCCGCCATTAAAAAGGGGGCGTGGCCCACGCCATGTCGAAATTAGGCTGAGCCACCTTATGGTGATATGGGTCACTGTGACAAGTGTAACAAACGTGAGACACGACCTACATCAATGAAACTTGGCACAGATATAGATCAATATCTAATGCTCATACAGATTTAATAAAAAAGGACCTTATCTTATTATTTCACAAAAAATTTTGTATGCGAAGATGCCTTATATATACCAAAGATTTTCAAAATAAAGGTCGATTGAAAAAAGCAAAATAGCTGGCTAGAAATGTAGGCCAAGATGTCTTCCAAATTATAAGGCCGGAAACGGAACTCAAATATATGTGGAAAGAACTAATTTAATAATAAATAGACACACACATCGGAAAATTAAAAACTCGGATTTTTCGGCGCCGACGCCCATTTCCGATACAAAAAAAATAGTAGTCTCCCTTCTTTCATCGAAGTATCTACGCTTAGGGTGTGAAAACTCTTGGCAAAAACCTATACCGCTAACTCAAAATTTACCGCTAACACAAAATTTACAGAGTGTAGTGTAATGAATGGCTTGCATAGCCAATTACGGATTATATTCTTGGGGCACATTGCGCTCTACCCATTATACTATAATGATTATAGTATAGTATAAGTATAGTAGGCTAATAATTAAAATGTTTATCACACATGTCCCCTTGCCACTATCCAACAAAACTGAATTAAATAAATAGACTTCATTCAACTTCAGTCGCTTGTCTTCCATAAGAAGACATTTAAAATGAATAAAGAATTTACTTTGATTGCCACATTGCCCAAGCTGCAATGTGATGATTTCCCTCGGCATGATGAAAAATAGACGGAAAATTGTCTTAAACGTAACAGCGTCTATAGATACAGATAGAAAACAACATTACGCTCCAAAACCAAAATATGAAGAAGCGAGTTCAATTCATCCTCTTCTACACACCAACAAAAAGCACCTTTCCAATTAAAAAGAAAATGCAGAATTCTTAAGTTTTTACAATTAATTTAGGTATAAATTATGGGGAGGGGGGCTTATCTTGAAAATTATTTTTTTAAACGACAAGCATTAAATTTATATTAATAATAATTTCATTAACAACTCTTAATAACGTGCGCGTTTGACTTTAAATTAATACTCTCTACCAGTAGCTTCACACCAATAATTAATAATTTTAGATTAATTTGAGCACTTAGCTGAAAAAGTTAATTTATTTTAAAAAAATATTTTTATAATAATATGCTGACAGATTTATACAAGTATATAAGCCTTCTTATAACTTTTCAAAAGTGAATTTTTGTGAAACGTTTTAAGAGAGAGAAAATTACCCACAATTCCACAGCAACAATAATGTAAACAATAATAAACTTTGGCAAGATGTCTTATTTTATCGTTTAGCAGAACTAGTCGTAGCGATAAAAAAAAAAGAGATTAATATATATATTTATCTATATATCTACATACAAATTGGAATAAATATATAGGTTGAAATTTAATGAATCTGGAGCCTGGTTGATCTTTCATTTGAAAAAAATGACGGATTCATTTGACTCTGGTGGTGGGGGAGATGTTAAGAAGATGGAAAAAGATCTGACGTCTTTTCTTGGGCCTTACGAATCCTTGATTATGAAAATCCAGAGCCTTCTCGTTTGGGAACACCCGTGGCGAAGTGCTATCTTATTCACTATTATCCACGTTTTAATATGGTTGGTTCATTAAAAACGATTTTTCCATGACTTAATAATTTATATTGAAACGCAGTGAGTTAGTGATAGTGAGTTTGTTTCCACGCGATAAAGTCACTACCGACCTAGGCTCTACTCTAGTCCAGGCTAGTACTAGTAGTAGCCTAGTTACTAGGTAGACCTAGTGTTGGTGCCTGACCTAGTCTAAATTTAATATAGAATCATCATTTATAGGCTTAGACCTAAGACTTAGATATGTCTAGTCTAAGTCTATGAAATGATGATTCTATAAATAGTTTATATTAAACATAATAAATTGTAGCTTAAAGTAGGCCTACTGGTAATCTTACAGTTCATATGTGTATGTTATTTCTGATTGAATTTCGTATTATCGCGTTTAAGCTTACGTGTATTTTTTTATAAAATTGAGTCCAGACAGTATTAGTATTAGTTAGCCCTAACACTAAATTGTAATAACTTTTCTTTTTATTGATTTTTACAGCCCCCATTCGTACATAGCCGAATGTGTAAACGATATCTCCATTTTTTTGTTTTTTTTAAATTCACCCCACATGCCAGATTGGAATTTTTCAAATAAAAGCATATTCACCAAAAAGAAACAAGAAATCAAATTTATATTAAATTATACCAAAATTACAAACGAAAACCATGTTCATAAAATGCTTAACTTTTCAAACGAAAACCATGTTCATAAAATAAATTTATATAAAATTGGCGTGTATATTGGCTAGTTTTCGGAAAAATTAAAATTATGAGTTCATTAAACTTCAGCACCGGTTTTTGAATATGGATAATCAAGTGTATGTTATTATGTGTACTAAGTTGGATCTCGTTCCATTCATCCATGCAGGAGCCTTTGCTTGGAATTATATTTATACACCCCTTGCCTTATAAGGAAAAAAAAGAATTCTGGACTTCTATAAAATAATGGAAATCTAGTTAAGTTCAACAACCCCACCCCACCCCTCCATCCCCCACCCCCTTCCGTAAATTCATTCTTTTTGTGAACATGGCTACAATTTGAAAATTTCGTTTAGCATACCGACTTATAAGTGATTAAAATTCTGGCAACTGGGTTAAAAAATACAAAACAAATCGAGCAATGGCAGGTTGGTGGATGTTCAAAGACACTTGAGAAATAAAATAAAACAAAAATAAGCGCTGAATATTTCAGTTTTAGTTAACTATCACTGCCTATATTTAATTTAATGAAGAATACACGCAAGTTTACATGCGATAATATGAAATTCGATCACAAATAATAAACGCACCTGAACTGCAAGATTACAGGCCTAGTATAGACACTTAAGACTATATATATTAATAATATATATCTATATAATTATAGTTCTAGTTATAATCCTAATTGTATTATAATAAAATAAAAAGAAAGCATAGGTCTGCATTTGAATTATAATTATATGACATACCTCATAAGCATTTACTCCATGCAATTCATTTATTATGTTTAGGAGAGTTCATCTTTCTGATTTTTTTTTTTTCAAAATAAATGCGGCCACCCATATCTAAGCTTTTGCATCATTAAAAACAACTTCAATTAATTAGTTGACAGACTATAAAGTTTTGAAACCCATTAATTAGCTTAATAAACTTAATTAGTTACTTGGTTATATCAACACACATCATTCTGTGTATGTCCAAAAATGACATAGTTTGTTATCACACTTTTGGCCTGTGAATTTCATTGACCTCTAATAATCTCTTTTCATTCAATGGTTTATAAAAAGATTGATATTGTCATGAATGACGAAGAGTAGATTCACTTTAGAGCATGCCAATGTAAATATAGCAATGAGGCTATTCTTTTCAGAACATTTTCTTTGACTTTTAGTGGTTTATGTATCAAGGAAACCACACATATAAAGTTATGCAAAATAAATATTCTCGATCATATGTAAAACATTAGTTGTACGTTGTGTTATAAACTGCATTCTGACTGTCTCAAGAAATTTGGCATCAGTATCTTTAAAATAAAAAAGTTGTGGGTAAAATAGTGCAGAAATTAGAAAATTGGGTCATAAGTTTACGTGGTTATATATATATATAACTTTAATTAGTGGCTTCATTTTTTTTTTTTTTAAATCACAACTCGACTTTTAAAAAAGACAGAAAGATGAACTTGGTGTTTTTAAAAAAAAATCTTACAGCCTAGCTCTTCAACATAATGTAGACCTGGTTACCCTTATGATTTTGGCATACAATGTAAGAATTTGAGATGTTTTTTATGGTTGTAAGCTGAGAACTGTTAGAACTACGATTTTATTAGATTATGGTGAAACAAAAATATTCTGAAAGACTTAAGATAAAAAAAATGCATTTTCTGTTGTTAATTTTATCTCTTTTCTACATCTGGAGGTGGATGAGAAATAGGATTTGCTGGAGACCATCCATAATTATATTATGCACTCACTGAGAAGTGGAGGGGGGATGATGTTGACTTAGGAGAGTATTTGTGTGCATGAGAGGGGAGAGGGTAGGAGTCTAAATATTTTTTAAAAATTATAAAAAAACTTGTTGGTTGTGTAATGATGGCGATGATCATGATATTTTTCCCAATGAACTCGCTAGATACAGTACCGGTAACAGTAATAATAGCATAGTTTGCCTTGTGAAAAATTGAGTCAACATTGGCTTTTGTTTGCTTCGCTGCTGTACGACGTAATTTCTTGACTTAATTATTTTATTCTTCGGGTGAACTGCAGTGCTTGGGAAAATGGAAAAAAAACTACAGCAATGTTAGATTTTGCCATGTTTTAGAATCTAATAAGCGGTGTATGAAATCTACTTTTAGAATTCACTATTAACTGTACAATGTTGATACCTGAGTTGGTTCGCGCACTCCTCTTCTTCCCTACTCCCAATACAGCTTGCAGTAGTCATTAGACTAAAATATGTTAATGGAAAATAAAATTAGGCTCCTAGGCTTAATGCAGGTTGGCCAACATGCGGCCCACATTAAATATCATGGCCAGCTCGATGTATCACAAATGAACTTATTTTTATTCTCTTAACAAGTATTTTCATCCTTTGCATAAATGCAAATTTTCGGTGTGCATGCCCCTTTTTTAAACTGATTAAAAAATTGTTTGAACTAAGTAATATCAAATCTTAAATAAAAATTATAAAAAAATTATACTATTTAGTAACTACTAAGATTAAAGGATTCATATAAACACAGTTAGGAATAGGGAACCTAATTTTGAATGTATAAAGAATTTTCTGGGGAGGGTATTCAGCCCACACCCTAAACCCCACCCATATTCAGCGGGCATCCTCAATTTCTACTATCCCACCCCTATCTTCATCTATCAAAGTGGCAATGATGGTTACTTTTTTATTTGCAATACAGCACTGTATATAAATATAGAAACATAAGGTTTATACTTTGGGAAGTGACCTTTATTAGACATTGGATGCCAATAGTTATTGTATACATTATACTGTATAAATATTTATTTACTATTACAATACAGTTTTGTATGATTTTATGATGGTAAAATTCTATTGTACTATTTTTGGACTTCCAGGGTAACCAGGTCTGCATGATGTATCGTTTATGGCAGTCAGATAATATTTAAAATTTATATCAAAGTACCTACATTAAATGTCACCAATTATATCTCACTGAATGAAGAACTGTACAAAAATACATTTTCAGGTTCATTAGCATGACATCATCAAGATTTTTCTTTTTGATGAGTGTCACAGTTATGTGCATGGTATTTATAGACACATGGAAAAACAAAATATGGCCTGAAATTAGAGGTAAAGTATGTTACCTAAAATGGATGTTTACATTAGCAATATAGGATATACCCGGTATACAATATTTTATTTTTAAATGTTTATATTTGTTTACGCTAGCCATTGTGATGGTCAAGTTAAAAACACCTTCATAGGCATAGGCATATACATTTTTTTAAAAATTAACCCTTTTGAGACTGAGTCTATTAGGCGTGTCAGTGCCAAGATGACGGACATTGTTCTACAAGCTTGCACTCATATTGCAAAAAAAAATTATAAAAATTAACTAATTAATTTATAAATATAACACAATTTATATAGTCTTGTAAGGAATTAAATGAACTAATACAATCTTTGTAAATCAAACTAAAATCTCAGCATTTATGCAAATGACATCCTGATTTGCATAATTTATACAAGCAATTTTTTTGTACACTTGAAATAAACACATCTTACTTGAAGATGTTTGTTAAATTTTATAATTGTTGAAGCCTGAATATGTCTTAACCCATATTTGAATGAGATGCAATTTGAAAAACTACATGAAATATTCCCTGGGGCTGCTTTTAACATATTTTAAGGTAAATATTTTAAAGGATTTTTAGGGGTCTCTAGGTAAAATAAAACTGATTTAAATGACAGAACACCGTAAAATATCATTGGAAGCTGCTATCAAAATAGTGAGATGAGCAAGAAATGTGAGAAGCAATCTGATTTGCTGGTTCGAAGATCAGCCAGTCAATCTTGAAGCTTGAATTATTGGGCAGATGGATCTGCCATTGGCCTTATTCATAATCACATCACAAGAGGGTTAACCCTACATATGTAGGTCAAACAGTTCTTTTTGTACCAGTACTATACTTTTGGTGCATTTCCAATAATTGAAATATCATTATTGCTAATTATGTAAATCACTTTATTTATTTTAAAAAAGTTTAAAAAAAAAAAAAAAAATCTTTAAAAAATAAAGATATTTTAATTGTTTTTTGGAAACAATTTATTTCAGTTCCAACAAATGAACCAGAGGACAAAGATGGGTAATAATTCTGTTAATTTTATTTTTCTAGTAACAAAAATATTTTTAATTTGCAGTTGTATTGGTAACATCATAATCATTTTAAGACTTTGTGCAATGATTTTTATTATATTTATGAGTATGAAATAGAATGTAAAAGAAAACAACAAAGAATAAAGCTCTTTAAATAATATGAATGTATTTCTAGATGGACACCAGTTCACCCAAGGTTATTAAGTGTGCCAGAAATAAGCACACACTTGAGTAGAATTCTTGATTCTCTGGTCAAGAACTTCAGATTAGCTCGTGATTATCGAATCTCACACCCACTTGTGGTAAGAATGAATTGATGTATGACTTGTATGTTTAAAATAAAAATACTTTAAATATGTTGAAACCTGAATTTAACTTTACATTTAATTAGTTGTATTTTTTATGATTGTTAAAAAAAGTCAATGCTGCCAGTTGGTAAGTAAAGATGCGTGTATAAAGATGAGAGAAGACAGTTGGATAAATCATGATGCTCCTTCTATTGTATTTGGTTCTCCAGATAACACCATAAGACACCCACACACCATAAAACCCCCCCCCCCCCACACACACACACATTTACAATCACAATGTTTTTTCTTTGCAGTTTTGTCTTGGAAATATTAGTTGTATTTTTTATGAATGTTAAAAAAAGTCAATGCTGCCAGTTGGTAAGTAAAGATGCGTGTATAAAGATGAGAGAAGACAGTTGGAAAAAACATGCTGCTACTTCTATTGTATTTGGTTCTCCAGATAACACCATAAGACACCCACACACCATAAAACACCCCCCCCCCCCACACACACACACATTTACAATCACAATGTTTTTTCTTTGCAGTTTTGTCTTGGAAATACTGCCTTCTTTACAATAACAGCTGTAATTGGTTACTATATCTCTGGTTTTATGCTGCTCTATATTATATGTAAGTTCAACTATTAATTAGAAATAAAAATCACAGGGGACGGGGGAAAACCTGAAAGAAGATTAAACTAAACTAATGTGTCAGCAAACATGAAACGGGTTAGATTCTCTGGAACGAGATACCAAATATTGTTGTGGGTCAAATTTATCTTAAGAAATTATAAAGCTATAATACAACTGTTAAGCTGTGTTCTCAGTAACAAAAATAGGTAGGTCAGATACTAAAGACCATTTTCAACCCCAAAGAATCAAGGCGAAAGTTGATTTTGCTTATAGTTTGTCATAATTAACCTAGGCCCTACATAATTTTTTCAACAGCAACAACAAAATAGATTTTCCTTGTTGGCCACAAGTTATCCTTGGTGTTTCAAATAGTTTCTCATGACTTTTAAATATTTGATGAGGCTATTATTGCAAAGTGATTTCGTAATTTTAATGTAGAAATAAGGAAAAAGCAAAACGCAAAGTATTAAGTTAATTTAGTGGCAATACTTTTTTGGTCATTGCAATTTAAGAAACATTAAAAAAATGTATTCCTGTAGTAAAATATATTCCTGATCTCCCTACTTCTGAAGCACTTGATGAATATTTTCTGCATTGGATATATCTGGTGAGCAGGGTCTTTAGGGAGCCCTCTTTAGATTCTTTAAATGGCCTTGATACAAAAACTATAAAAATTTCATGTTGAAAAATAAATATTTTATTGATTAGTGCTTAAAAGAATATTTTTCTTATGAATTTAACAAAAATATTATTAGCTGATCTTTAAATAGTTATACTGTCATCTTAAAATATGAGACCTGGACCACAGTTCCAACTTTAGATTGTGTGTTACTCTTATCTTTTTGCTCCCAATTTCAACCCTTTAATATTATGGTAAGCCTATGTATATCTCACTTGTCAAGTTTATCCCATATCTCTGTCTAATTTATTGAATATCACTTTTTTTTTCCAGTAATAACTTTGATGTTGTGGCCTTCTGTGTTGTATCATTCCATACTAAGAAAAGTATACCTGAAATTGGAGCCCGGAATAATTTTACTGTTAAACCAAATGAAGAAGGGATGCAGATCCATAACGAGTAAGTCTAATAGTATCCATAGGCAACATCTACAAATGAGTCTAGATTTTTTAAATATAAAAAATATATCTGGTTTTAATGGGATTCCAATCTGATCCCATTTTAAAGTTTTAATTTTTTTGTCGTATTGCAGCTTTAGGTGGGAGAATAAATGCCTCTAGACTTTTTTCACGTTCAACTGCGGGACCTCAAGTGGAAGTTACTGATGAGGATGACTTTGTACCGCAAGTAAAATTATTAATAACTATTCCAAGAAACTAGTTATTTGTTACCTTCATTTTTGTAAATTGAGAGCTTGTCATTTAGAACACATTTTGTATGTATTACTTTGTTGCACTTAAAATCTTAGCGATGTTACCATGTGTTTTTTTGTAATAGCTTTTTTTTTTTAAACCACGAACTGTGGTCGGCAGAAAAAAATCAGCTGACATTCTCGTTATGTACGGTGGTGGCCGATAAAAAACACGGTCTGATAGCAACTTCCAACCAAATATTTAACTGGAATTAGAGCCACTTCCTTTTATTAATAATTAAATCATCTTCCGCTTCAAGCTGTTTCGTGATAACTTGAAAATAAATATTTTTTAATCTGAGTTTTATATCACTGTTTTTTTTAAAATCTCAAATGGTTGAAGCCATGGCTGGGGTCATTCAGTGCAAGAACTAATAGAAATATGTTTGAAAGCTTTTTAGGAGAGGTTTTAAGTGATACTGAGGATTTTAACATTCCTCATGACGATATCAGTTGAGATTATTCTTTTAGTGAATTTTATACTAGTCTTAGTGATACTGAAGTAGGCCTACTGAGGCTACTGTTAGACTTCGAGACAGGCCTGGACCAAATCAGTTCCACAGTTCCTTTTTAAATGTATACTAACCAATAATAACTATTTTGCCTGAGATTTTGTATTTTGTACTTGGTTTTAGCAGTAGTCCCCAGTTTCTTATATAAATGACCTAAAGTTACTAAAATTGTTTTCAGATGTTTAATTGCAATCAAAACCTTAGCAAACTATATATGCTTCTTGTTGAAAGATAAATGAATTGGCTACAACATTTAGATTTGTGTTTTAAGTGTATCTATAAAAATTAATGATGTTATGAGCACTTGAAAGGAAGACATTTTGTCGATATTTTTTTTCTTGATAACTACAAGGTCAAGGACACTGAGCACAATTTTTTTACCAATTTTATCCCCATCCATTTACCTTTCTAAAAATATATACTTATTGGGTATTGTATCAATATTTCTATGTCATTTAATGTAATTTCAAATTGCACTAAAAACGCTCTGAAAAGCTCCACACCACAGAATAGTGCATGCCACAGTTCGTGAGTTAATGTAAGGGTAGATGGCAAAATCACTTTTAAAAGAAGTTGAAATCTTTAAAAAGATATCATCATTATTTATTTTTCTTAGATTGATCAAGACATTGCTGCAGCTCTAGCTAAAGCGACCACAGACAGCGACGACGAAGGTGGAAATTCTTCTATTCCTACCCCAAGACTTTCCAAAAATCCATCATTCAGTACAAGTGAAGATGGTAAAAACTTTCTCTCAGACTTAGACTTAGATGAGCAATGATGAAATCAAACTGAATTAATCTAATGCTGTGTTTTTTTAAACAATTTCTACTTTGATTAGTTTCCTTTATATAAAAATATTGCACCACACTTGTTACAATTTCATGACACACCAGTGTATCAGGATACACTGGTTGACTTTTTCTGATCTAATAAGGTTATGCATTTCTTGTATAATGAGAGGGCTTTATATTATGTTCAAGCAGGAATGAAACTTTAAGAAGCATTTATATATGTAAAAATAATTTTCCCTGTGCCTATCCTTAGAAATAAAATAAATTCACCTAATATTTTTTCATTTTCTACTTGTTGCTGAAATTGCCTTTCATTTGCAATTGAATGTGTATAATGATTTTAAAAAAAACAACCTCACCTCACATCACTGGGACCTTTTTAATGTATTTGCTGCAAATAAATGTAGAAGTTTAGTATTTATATTTTTTATTAAAAATTTTGAATAAATTATATCACTGTGGGATGGCAACCAATGTTATTGCCAAGGTCTCAATTTACCTATACCTATGTGTGTATGTTTTTTAATCTACTCATAAATAAATTACTTTTACCATGTGAGTCTGCGTAAAAATAATCTAGAAAATAAGCCAAACAAAGTATGGGAAAACCTGAAAAAAAGGACGCAGAAAAAAATGAAAATATTATATGATGAGTTTTTTCAATTCAGAAAATTTTAAGGAAGTAGAATTTTTGATTAGCTACGCTTTATCACAACAAATATTGACTTAATTTTTATTTCAGAAACGCAAGGGGAAGATTTTGAACCAAGCATCAATCAGATGCCATCCTTCGATGATAACCTAGATAACACAGATGATGAACTTGACCTGCCGTCTCTGAATGAAAGCGGCTCTCACCACTCAAGTCGGCTCAGTGCTCTCCAATTTGCTGCGGCTCATTTTGGCGGAGATTCCGAGTCAGAGGATGAGCAAATGCTGGGCCGAGACCTTGATTTCTCTAACGCTGGAATTTCCTCTAACAATAACAATGCCACTGGTGGGTCATTGTCACAGTCAGGGCTGACATCTTTAGCAGGGGCCTTGGTTGCAAGGACTATAACAACTATGATGGAGTCAGCCATGCAAGGAGTAGCCTCCCTTAGTCAGGGCCAGTCAGCCTCTTCATCCAGTTTGATTTCTCGGAATGGATCCAAGATAACATATACTAGGACAGAAGAGGGAGAAAGTATTGATTTTCAGAATCCAGAACCTCCTATTTATGAGTCAGATGAGGAAGAAGAGGAAACAGATGATTCATTAGATGGCAGGGATCAAATTGCTGAAATCGAAAAAGATTTTGACTTTCTTAGAGAACTTGAGCCAGACCAAGGTGATAGTGATGACAAAGGACATTTTTGATTTCACTGCTAAAAATTAAGGAATTCCTAATGGAATCAGAAGTTTCATTTTATTTTCATGGAAGATATCTAATTTTAAAATATGTTTATCATAATTTGTTTTATAGTTTATGTATTAAATACTTTTCTTTATTTTCCATAAAATAATCAGCAAGATATTTTTTTTTATATATTAAAGCAAATAATTTTGTATTCTTTTAAAAATTATAAATTAATTTTAAACAGTTACTGGAAATTTGTTTGAAAGAAATTTCGTAGACAGAAAATTGATAGATGGAAATTTGATCGAACGGAAATTTGGTGGAATCTTTGTTTCAGTTCACACATTAAAAATTTCGTCAAATTCCTTTTTGAATGTACTATACTATATAGTTAAACAAAATAATGCGTTAAAGAAATTTGATGCAAATATTTAACATGTGAACTGAAAAAAAGATTCTACCAAATTTCCGTTCGATCAAATTTCCGTCGATCAATTTTCCGCCAACGAAATTTCTTTCAAACAAATTTCCGGATACGATTTTAAACTATGCATTTTATTTTTAGTATAACCAACTAAAATTGTTGTTCAATGTAGTGACTTTAATTTTGTTTACATACTCTACACCAACTAAAATCGTTGTTAAATGTAGTGAGTTTAATCTATGCCTACTTTATACCAAATAAAATGTTGAAGATGAATTCATTCCGGAAATATTTTTTACCACATGGCTAAAGCTTATTCTAAAATTTTGATATGACTTTTAAAATTATTTAAAAAATTTAAATTTAACTTAATGAAACATTTGTGAGAATAAATATGTAGTATGCTTTATTGCTGTTTGTTTTATATTACAGTTCTTACAAATTTATTTAAATAAGTTGATGTTTATTTATGTAAGTTATCTTTTCTACAACTTTTGTTTTAGACTATTATTGCTGGTTTTGATGGAGACTTATTCATTGGAGCACTATATCATTAATAAATACACAGTGCCATGTAATAAATGACAGATCCTAAATAGGGAGCTTCTATAATGACCAATGGTTATTTCCCTCTACTCATTGACCAATTTTAGCAACTTGTTGAACTTTTATGTGACAGAGTGTTAATTAAATTTCCCATCAATGAAACAGATCTGCCAATTGTAACAAATAATGACATATTTGTTGAGCTTAACTGTAACTCAAATCATGATGAATTATTATCAATATTTTAATTGCCAACAACCTAATAACCAATCCTTCATTAACTTAAAGTAATTTACAAATATGTTTTCTTTAACCCAAAGCCTTATATTAGATTAATTTTTTTTTTTGATCAGCCTATCAGAAAAGTTTGGCAATTAAAGTTTATTGGTGTTTCGTTTTTGTAAACGGAAGTATGAGTGATCATAATATAAATGTAGTTTTAGTATTTATGTTTAATACTAAGAATTTTATAAACATTCTGCAGAAAATTGCAATAGATTCTCACTGCTTTGGATTTTTTTTATTCCCCCTAAAAATGCTTTCATTTTATCAGGTTTAAAAAAAAAACGGTTAATGTTACGGTCGATGTTCATTTTAATTTTGTTAATGTTCACAACGTTTGTGGGGCTCGTTATTTGTTAACAGTTTTTTTTGTTGTTGATATTTCAGTTACCAGAAAATTTGTGTCAATGTTGCTGTATGTATTTATGTGTCAATGTAAAGGGATGTTGGTGTATGTATTTATATGTGAATGTAAAGGGATGTTGGTGTATGTATTTAAATGTCAATGTATTTATATGTCAATGTAAAGGGATGTTGATGTATTTATTTGTAAATATTCAAAAGTGATCAACATGACAGCTTTGTTTAGTTTAAAATTGCAATGTCTTAAGCAATTTAATTTTTTTTAAATGTAAGTAATAAGTTTTTGGTTAAATTGTTATAGCTTATTGATTACATAACTCAATTTTACATATTTATGATCCTCCCTACGTAAGCACCCATTTCCTATTGGAAATGCAAAAGGTACAAGCAACAGCTATTAACGTTTTGATTTAAAATTTATGATTAAGAAAAAATACAAAGTCCAAAAGCCACTTGAAAAATAAATGTTTTATAGTCCTTTTTTAAAATGATTATTTTTTATTTAATAAAAAAAATCCCTTGAAGTTTATGACTTTATAAAATAATAGTTTTCCCTTGCCCTAATATTTGTGTGTATTCTTCCTTGTATCATTTATGTCACACACCATTTCACCAGGGCATTAGATATTTTTTAAGCTCACTTCGCATTGGTTAACTCTGCTGCTTGCAGTGCTTCTAGTGTTTATTTTCATTACTTGAGCTTGTGTGGTTTCTTCTTTGTATTGTTTTAACTGGCCTTACACTACCCAACTACCTATTTCATTTCCAAGCTATACTACACCTCCAATTTGTTACCGAACATATGAAACCTCATTACACACTTAATTTCAATGTTTCCATCAAAATTATAGTTATTCTTGGTTTAATTAGGAAACAGCGTGAGTATATTGATAGTCTTTTTTTTTTTTGGATCTATCTAATCCTCTAATCTTTGAGCTAAGATATCTTATTCATGCTTTGTAACATTATTTGGAAATAGAATGGCTTCCCTGATTTTTTTGTTTGTACTGTTATTTTATGCAAGATTATGTAGATTTCGGTAGTCGGCTTTTGGGCTAGGCTCTGTTTGGAAATGTTATTTGAATATATGAACAAATATGCTTTGTTCTGTGATGATGACTGTATCACATACATATTTCAATCGGATGTTTTGTAATCATTTGTAGTTTAATTAAATGTTAACCTGGTATTACAATGTATACTTTTCCTTGTCGAGCTAGCAGCGGGAATACTAACACTTTGGGATTTGTGGCAGCACGGGGAGTCTAGTGTTATGTGTCTATGTAATTGTCAATATTTTTTTTTTATCAAAACCTGTAAATATTTTTATGTAATTTATTATTTTATTGCAACATCTGGTTGTTAAGGGGGATGCAGGTGATGATAATCCCCTGTTATAATCCCCTGATCATTCACATCAATACTCTTGTGGTTTATTATCCTAGAACGGTAATGGTCTTGTATTCCAGTCCTTCCCAACCATTGTGCCAAAAGATAAGGCACTAAACTCAAGTGGGAGGTTGGGACACTAGACAAGTAGTAATCATGTAAATTAAGTGTGCCCACTGGAGCAACGCTGCTTTCAGACCTCCCTTTCATACCTCATTTTCATACCTTTAGTAACACCACTTTCATACCTTTTGCAACTCCACTTCATGTCCCACTTTCATACCCTTAGCAACTCCACTTCATATCCCACTTTCATACCCTTAGCAACTCCACTTTCATACCTTTAACAACACTATTTTCATACCTCACTTTCATAACTTTAGCAATTCCACTTTCATACCTTCAGTGTGCTGCACAAATATGATGTTTTCATGGGTACAGGTACAATTTGTCACAAAAAGTTAGGGAAGTATTGGTGTACATTGTAGGCCTTATCACTGTTCGATCATTCATACTGGTAAAATATTTTATTTCATTTGACATGACATTTGTCTAGTTTTGGATTGATGGCTTGTTTTGTGAGGACTTTTTTTTTTTTTTTTTTACCAATTTCTTAATTTTTAAAAAAATGTTCTAGAAATTGGTTAAATATTTGAAGTTAAATAACTAGAAAAATAATTACNACAAAATGGACACAAGGACAGACACTAATGCCAATTTTCCAGCCACACATTTTCATCGCTATCTGACTCTTTATTTGGTTGTGTGTACAGAGTACCGGTATTAATATATAGGCCTATATATACAGAGGTGTCACTTCAAAGAATTTAATGTATGCATAGCTGATAATTATACTGAGTATGAAAGAGCAGAACACGTTTTTGTGTCATTCCAAAAGGTAAACAAACTGGTATGTAACATAAAAGTAAGCATTTTACATCTTTACGGTAGCAAATTTCTATATGGAGTAAAGTTAGACAATTGTATGGTCGGCTTATATGCGGGTTTTTTGCAAAAACTAGCCATTTTAAAGCAGTTTTAGGGGGTCGGCTTATATGCGATGTAGGCTTATATGCGAGTATGTATGGTAAACATTGGGACAACTGAATGAAATTGTTCATATCTGTAATCAATGTGATTATTCCCCCCTCAAACAAAACGTTCCTACGATATCATGTCTTAGCACAACTTAGACACAACAACTGTATTGACATTTTTAAAGCTTTTTTCAACTCATTTCTTAAAGTTGAAAAATCCATTACATTCATCCTGTTTGCAGTATGTGCTGTGATTGTAGCATTTTTAATTTTTTTTTATAGTAAAGTCATGCTTAATAGACGAGATAAAATATATGAAGAAATTTAATCTGCTCTTGCTTTGCTTATTTCCTTTGAAACAGAACATACATATTCTTGATATTCCCTGTTTTGATTGATTACATTTGTGTCTCCATTAAGTGTCCCTGTGTTCTAAGGACACAAGTTTTAAGTGAACTGGGAAATCTTGTTGTCGTTGATATTTTTATTTTGCCAAAAGAACCTGAAACATAACATTGGCATTTAACAGGCAGAATACTAACTAACCTAAATTTGGCTTGTTTTTCATTCAGGTCATTTTCAAAAGATGGAAATACTTTGAAGTACCGGGTAAATAAAATTTGAATTCTGGACCAAGAGTAGAAGACAGATAGAATAGTTTTAAAAATACTCTGTTGTCAAACTGTTCTTTATTTAATAAATCAGCTGAAACTGGCCAGATTTCAGTTAGTTTATGATTTCAAAATTATCAAACGGATTAGATGCTCATATTAGACCTGCCTTTATAAAATTTGTCATTTGAAAAAAATATTTTTGGGTTGTTCGGTATTGCTGATGCTCTGGTTTGCTCTAAATAAATATTAGCATATATACTTTTTTTAAAAAGTAATTTAAATTTTGTTAGAAAAAGCAAATATATTTGTATAATACAGATGATTTATTTTTTATTTTCAGGAAAGGGGATTTCACTTTCTTTAGTGTACATTTTAAAAAAAAACTTTGTTACTTGTCTGTCAGTTCCTGTGATAAATTTAATCTCTATCTATTAAAACACACCTTTTGACCTATTTAGTAGCAATAATCTACTAGTTTTAAAATTTGACTTTGTTTTTTCAACAACAAAAAAAATACTCATAGCCTTTCACTCACTATTTAAATTGTTTCACCTATATGTCATAAGGACCATTCTGACTTGTTAGACAAGATAACTTATTCCCACTAACACTCCACATACGTTGGCTTTAAAAAGGAAGTGATGCTTTTTTGCAATCCTATGAATATGTTCATATTTTAT